TTTATAAGATCACTTCAAGTCAAAATCAACTTGATAGTGATAGGTTAAGTTTAGATTTTGGATATACTGCCTATGAACCAAAAAAAAAGGGGGGGTGCTTTTCTATGATAAGTACAAGATCTCCTCAGAAATTACCTGTTTACCTAAAGTATCAATGCCTGTCAAATAAACTTTACTAAAAGTTCCTTCAGTGTGGTCATTGAGTCAATTCCAACTTATGGCAACCTTCGTTTTACAGGGTAGAACTGCTCCATGACGTTCTCTTGGTTGGAACTCTTAGGCAAGCAGATCGACCATTGTGAAATTAAAGCAGAATGCATTTGGATGAAACAACACTGTAACTTCCTCATATTCAGGAGGTTTTAATATTCTCAAACAAACCAGGTCATGATCTTAACAAGACACCTTTTGTTTGTAGGAAACGCCAGACAGTTGAAGGGTTTCTTGCTCCATGTGTATCCAGGTGAACATCAAGCAGAACAAGATTATCGGAAAGAGAGCTTCATGCCTAGGCCAGGGAGGGAGGAGAAAAGAAGACACATCAAATAAATAAAAATGCACATTTATCCGGCGATGCCATTCTAACATTAAAATAATCTTGATGAGGCATCTAAGTCACAAAATCACAAAAGTTAAATTTTCTTTAGTTTTCCAGAAGGAAAAAAGTAGAAAAAGATATTAACATTTAAATTTTAACTCCAATGCCTTCTTCCTATTAAATCTTGAAATCATTCTGTATTTAAAATAGTAGACCAAAACCAAACCAAACTCACTGCTGTTGAGTTGATTTAACTCATAGTGACCCCTCCTTGGGTTTCCAAGGAAATATCTCTACGGAAGTAGATTGCCCGACCTTCCTTCCAAGGAGTGACTGGTGGGTTTGAACCGCCAGTTTTCTGGTTAGCAGTCAAATGTCTAGGCACTATGCCACCAGAGCTGCCAACTAACTTAATAGATAAGCTAAATGTAAAATAGTAGGGCATTTAAAATCATTCATAAAGTAAATGACAGAGACAAAAACAATTTAAAAATAAAATGCATTAAGACAAAGTTCCAGAGAAATGGATACTACAATACCAGCATACAAAACACTCAGTGTTGGCAAGAGTACGATGAATAAAGCACACTCATACTCTCCAGACAGGCATCTACGATGCCTAAAAGTCAACCTAACATCATATCAAGAATCTAAAATATACACTTTAAATATTAATATATATTTACTAATATGATCATTCCACTTCTAAAAATTATCCTGAGAAATAATCAAACACAGGCACTGTGATTCTCATATAAAGATGTTGGTTATAACATTGTTTACAAAAAAGAGAACAGAAAACCATCTATATGTCCAAAATATAACAATGGTTAAATAACGTGTAATAAATCTACAGGACAGAAGACATTGCATAACAAGAAAGGCTTGAGTGGGAAGCCTGGTAGATCCTCTCCCTAAACAGGCATGATAGCACTGGACAACCAAACCAAAAAACTGACCCACTGCCGTTGAGTTGATTCCCACTCATACTGACCCCCTTTAGGTTTCCAAGGCAGTAAATCTTTATGGAAGTAGATTGCCCAGTATTCCTTCCATGGAGTGGCTGGTGGGTTTGAACCACCAACCTTCTGGTTTGCAGTCAAATGCCTCAGGCACTGCGCCACCAGAGCTCCTTAACACTGGACAAGTTTGTCTAAATCAACCATTTAAAGACTCTGGAAACTGAACAAAAATATGCAATAATTAAGAAGTGTTATTCAAGCAAATCTACTGGCCCTTGATAAGAACAGTGAGAGTCTGTGGAATTTTAGCCTGGGTGCTCCCAGACTTCCTGGAGCTCCATGATCCCATGGCCCAGTAGTTCTACTAGGGCAGAAGGATAACACCCTGTTCCACGGTTACGTGCCCCAGTAGTTCTACCAGGGCAGGAAGATAACCTCCTGTTCCATGGTCATATGGAAAAATAGTTCTACTGGGGAAAAGGAGTGGGATGACTTTATTTGGAGCAGAGGGAGGAAAAATTCTATCATTAAGGGCTGGTGGCATAGTACCTAAGGCGCTTGACTGCTAACCAGAAGACTGGTGGTTCAAACCCACCAGCCACTCCTCGGAAGGAAGGTTGGGCAATCTACTTCTGTAGTGATACTGCCTCAGAAACCAAAAGAGGGGTCGCTATGGGTCAGATCTGACTCCACGGCGGTGAGTTTGGTTTGGTTAGTTAAGGGCATTGTCAAAATCAATAGTGATCTCAATGGCAAACGATCAAGAACAACAAAATCATACCTAGCCCGAAGTTTTGACACTGGTTGGAGCAAGCAAGAGACCTGCAGAACTGATAACAATTTAGTACACAGGTCCAAGGAATAAGACATCCAAATTGGGCCTAAACATCCTACTAATATTTTAGTAGCATCCAAAAAAAGTCCTACTTATTTCCTGTGACCTGGAAGACTGCACAGCCATTCCGCAGAGAACGGGGAGGGCCTCAGAGAAGTATTCGCCACTGGGTGAAAGTGAGGCCAAAAGGAGTGCTGGCGGCACAGTGCCTAAGGCAGCTGACTGCTAACCCAGGAGCTGGAATCCACTCGGTGGCAGTGGGTTTGGGTTTTTGGAATGTGAGGCCTAGTGACGGCAGACAGTAAAAGCCAGACTAAGAACCTGCCTGAACTTTGGATGCATCAAGAAGCCACGCACAGACCCAGTGAAAAGGGTGCAAGCCTTACTGCCTCAAGTGGCTAAGAACAGCCTCTGACCAGTCATTGGCTGGCCCCTGAGCACCAATGACACAGCAGCAACCCTGAGGAAGTCAGGCTTAAAAATAAGAACAAGAAATAAAAAATGTTAAGCAGAGATACCAGCAGGTGTGCACTGTGAAAGAAACACATTTCATAAAATCTGTCCCTGCATCTCAGTAAACAAACACACAAACAGCTACGACCAGCACGCCACGGAGGGAAACACAATCCAGAGTTGCTACAATCTATCGTTACCTAAAATGTCCACTTTTCGACATATAGTATGAGGCAGGCAGGTCTGGTTCAACATTCATAAGAAATCACTGTAAGCCATACCATTAAAGACTGAGTAAGAAAATCATATGAGCACATCAACAGATGCAGAACAAAAAGGCTTCAACCAAATTCAAGAGTCCTGATAAAAACTCTCAGAAACTTCAGATTGGAAGGGAGCTCCCACAACCAGCACTGAAGAAAGGCACTGTGGTAACCAGGCCACTAACATCATGTTGAAAAACTGAATGCCTTCTCCTCAGCCTGGGAAACAGGCAAGGACCCAGCCTTTATCTGGCATTGGAGGGGGCGCGCTGGAGACAGCACGTTCCTACGGAGGGAACCCAAGTCCCAGACCCAGCACGGCCTGGAAGGATCATTTAAGGGAAGAGCATCTGCTCCATGGACAGCACAGCAGTCACATCCCCAGGTTTAATCTAACGTTGTTGTTGTTGTTATGTGCCGTTGAGTCGGACCCAACTCACAGCACCCTTCCTCAGGTTTCCGAGGCAGTATCACTACAGAAGTAGATTGCCCCATCTTCCTTCCAAGGAGTGGCTGGTGGGTTTGAACTGCCAGCCTTCTGGTTAGCAGTCAAGTGCCTTAGGCACTACACCACCAGAGCTCCTAATCAGATTTTATACGAGCCAAAATTTCAGCTGTGGTGCACATGGTATTTATTCACATTTTCATTCCATTCTTTATTGTAATGTTTAAATTTTGCACCTTCTTAAGGATATAAACAGGACTAAAGGAAAATCCATAAACAAATGAATCCCTGTTTTTGTTGAATTTTAAAGAATGCTTCAGGAGCAGTACTGGGTTTGGGGGGGTTTGTTTTGCATAAGAAAATTTAAATCTTAAATAAAAATTGGTTATTTACTGTTGGGAAAGTGTTCTGAAAGCTCCCCACAGAAAAGGAAAATACAGATTATGATTTATGTAAGAATAAAAGTAAAAGCAAATAAAATGTTCAGGTGCCCTGGTGGCACAGTGGTTATGCATTGGGCTGCTAACCAAAACGTCGGCAGTTCAAACCTACCAGCCACTCCACGGGAGTTAAACTCAATGAAAAATATGTAATTTCAAGTATATGAAAGGAATACAACAAAAGCCAAGATCTTTAAATGTAAAAGGTTAAAATTCCAGCCTACTCACAAGTTTTAACACTGTAGTAAAATCATAGTAAATATAGCAACTTCAGTAAATTAAAACAGAAAATGACAACAATCAATACTAAGAAAAAGATAGGAAAAGAAAACCAGATGATTACAGACCAAGTCATACATAGTTCTTACAAAGCAGAGAATACTCACACATGCACGATCCATGTTCAATATTCATTTTCATTTCTAAATACTGAATACTGGGAGAGAAAATATCAAAACATAATTTTAAATGCTCTCCTATAAGTTAAAAAGAAAAAGAATAAAAGTGTATACCCTGTGCTCAGAAGAAGGTAGGTTGGCATCAAGGACAGAAATATGCCAAGCAGTCTCTGGAAGACAGCCGTAGGACTCAGCAGTGGCACAACCAAGGAGGACGCTGCAAGGAAACAGAGCAGGTCCTGGGACAGCACAGGAGACACACAGGAGAGCGCTGGAGCCTCAGTCGTTACCATCATTCGGGGCATTGACTGTTCGTGTGGACCCTCAGCACGAGGCTGGATTCACCCTCGTCATTTCGGTAAGAAATCTGACACCCTGTTCATTTTAATTAAAACTATAATTGGTTGTTTTAGCTATATTTTGGATTAAATAGTTCATGATAATACCAATTTCTAAATAATAATTTTCCAATGAAATAAATATTACTCAAGATTCAGCAACTCTCCTCTTAATTAGGCATTTATATCTTAGTTCAAAGCTAACTTACTCTCCAGAAATTGATCTTCCCTACACAAAATACAACAAACCCTTTCCCATCACAGGTGGGCAGATGAAAGCGGCAGTAAAATGTAACCTCCTCCCATCTCTGTTTTGTAAAGGAAACGTGCATAACTTCAGAATCCCCTCAGTTAGTGGAGCAATTTGTGTTATGATTTAGTGCCCAGCATATAGAGACAAATGACCTGGAATGGAATACTGGTTCAATTATTTATTAGTAACTGGGCAAATCTGTTAACCCACCCACCTAAGCTGCTTTTCTATTGGTCCAGTAGAGGTAAGCATAAAAAGTTATTGTGAGTAAGGTTTAAATACAATTTCACCTATAAAGTGCTTTCTGAGCATAGTGCTTGGCATGTAGTAGATGCTTAATAAATGTTAGCAGTTTTCTTATTACTGTTGTTAGGTGCTGTCGAGTCTTTTCAGACTCATAGCAACCCCTGTGGCAGAGTCGAACTGCCGCATTGGGCTCCCTAGGCTGTAATCTTTACGGGAGCAGGTTGCCGAGTCTTTTTCCTGCAGGGTCACTGGTAGGTTTGAACCACTGACCTTTTGGTTAGCAGCTGAGTGTTTAACCACTGCGCCACCAGGGCTCCTTATCATTATTAAATCACTGCAGGATTTAAGACTATGCATGTTATATTTAAAATAGTCTCTGATGAACAGGCTTTGGATTTTTTCCGTGTATATGAATCTGGATAGTTAGGTGACTCACAAAGTAATGGGGGACAGAGAGCTATGTAACAGCCACTGTCATCACAGGAGGACTATGTATGTGACCAAGCCTGTCTGTTTATAAACATACATGTATCTGCACTGAACACATGAAAGAAGCAAGCTGTTTCCATCCTCCAAGAAACAATTTTTGCCCCATTAGGGGCAACACCCCCTGCTCAAAAATGCACGATGTAAAGTTATCCCCTTTGGTTTCAGCGCCTGCTCACCTAGCACGGCCCAGCTAACAGTCTGATTCAGAAGAGGCAGCCCTTGTTTCTGGAGGAGACTGCCATGGGTGCTGTTCACAACAAGAATGGACAGCACTGTGCTCAGCATCTGGAAACAAACAGGAAACCAGAGAACAGATCACCAATCCAACTTATACACAAGAAAAGATTGCTTAGAAAAGCACTGTGAACAAATGCAATCTGGCCAAAAGGCCACTGAAATTGAGCCAACTTTAAAAGGCAGCTCACCTGCGTCTGGCCAAGGTGTGTTAGTACTCCTACACCAAGCATAGGCCCACCTTTGCAAGCACTAACTGATTCATTTCATAGTTTCAAGAACACGTTAGCATGCATTACCATACAGTTCTTAGTATCTTCATCAACACTGAACGTTTCTTAAATCATGGAAACTAAGATGGTGAAATGTATTTACAAATGTGTTGGGGTTCAAGAAGTTAGGGGCCTTGACAATGGTTTACTGCCTCTGACTCTCCTCACTGTAAACCTGATTTATTCACTCACCAATTATGTGTGACCTGAGTATGTCCCTGCAACTGAGGATACAAGAAGTATAAATACTCTTCATGGAAAACTTTCAGTCTGCGGATGAACTGCCATTTTAAAGAAATGAGCTAAACAATGCCTAAGAATAAAATAAGCTCTTTTATAGATCAAATTAGAAGCCTCATCCCCTAATCATAGACATATATTTAGTTTATTCTCATATTTTCATTTATTTAAGAAGTCATTGAAACTATGAAACAATCCTCAAAACCAAAACCAAACCCATTGCCAGCGAGTGATTATGACCCATAGCACCCCTAAATGTCATAGTAGAACTGCCCCAGCGGGTTTCCAAGGCCGTAATCTTTACAAGAGCAGACTGCCACATCTTTCTCCTATGGGACAGCTGGTGGGTTCAAATCACTGACCTTTCCATTTAGCAATCTAGTGCTTTAACCACTAGTACCAGGGTTCCTTTAATCCTAAAGCCCCTTTAATTGTACTGAAGGGTAACCCAGGGCCATAGTCTCGGGGGTTCCACCAGTCTCTATCTGACGAGTAATTCTGGTCATTTCTGTATTTTTGAATTTTGTTCCACATTATCCCCTTGAGGGATCTTTGACAAAATATTTCTTCTCTTTCTGTACGTTCTTTGTTGTTCATAAATAACATTTTTTCTTTAAATTGTAATTATGTTGTTGAGAAAATACACAGCAAAACATACACCAACTCAACAGTTTCTACATGTACAATTTACTGACATCGATTACACTCTTTGAGTTATCAAACTAAGGAAGGTTGGGCACTCTACTTCTGTAGTGATATTGCCTCAGAAACCCAAGGAGGGGTCGCTATGAGTCGGGTCCAACTCGACGGCAAATAACAACACAACAACAAGGTTCCTGTCTGACCTTTCTAGTTGCTGTTGTCAAATTGGTCCCATATAGTTAATTAAAAGAGCATAAAGCTCAAGGTAGAACTTTTTTGCTAGTTAAACTAAATTATTATTCAATTTTAAAAAGACTTCAGGGGATATTTTTGGTCTAAGGTTTAAACATTATCTTAGTGCAATAGTTTCAGGGGTTTATGAATGAACCCTCCATGGTTCCAGAAAGTCTGGATTCCATGAGAATCTGAAAATTCTCTTCTGCATTTTCCCCTTCAGGATTCCTCTATGAATTATTGGATCAAAATATTCAGCAATGGTAGCCAGGCACCCTTCAGTCCTGCTGGTCTCAAGACAAAGGAGGTAGTTGTTCATGGAGGCAATTAGCCACACATTCCATGTTGTTGTTGTTGTAATATGCCGTTCAGTCAATGTCGACTCATAGCGACCCCTTCTTGGGTTTCCAAGGCAGTATCACTATGGAAGTAGATTGCTCCATCTTCCTTCCGAAGAGTGGCTGGTGGGTTTGAACCGCCAGCCTTCTGGTTAGCAGTCAAATGCCTTAGGCACTATGGCACCAGAGCTCCTACACATTCCATATTCTCCTCCTATTCCTGACTTTTCTTCTTCCTCTGTTGCTCCAGGTGAGTAAAGGCCACTTACAAGCTTTTTAGACCCCAGGGACCACTCAGTGAACTAGGAAGTAGAACAGAAGCACTAAAAACGTTATTAGGCCAGTTAACTCGGATGTCCCATGAAACCATGATCCTATACCTCCAAATCACGAAATGAAAGCCCATGGCGTGTTTGGCTGTACATAAGCAGCCTCAGTGGCTACTTGCCATGAGGGAATGTAGTTATGATACCAGCTTTCAGGTGTCGGATCTTTTTCAGTGTTCTCTTAGAAATCTTTTCCTATTTTCTAAGTTTTCCACTAAGGGAAATTTCTGGAGAAAATTCACAGGGGTTTTTCTTGTTCTCAGTGTTCTAAATATGTTCTTTATGTTTGAGAGAAAAACAACTGGCTTTTATCCATTAAAAAAAAAAAAAAAAAAAACTCGTTCACCGAATATTACATTATATTACTTCTTTAACTCTCCCAACCCAACGAGATATTATCTCTACAGATTGGACCAAAAAAAAAAAAAAAAAAAGTTAAATTACTTAAAATCACATAGCTAGTATGAAGCATGTGTGAAATTGACTCAATTTTGACACATCAAGTTCAAAGCTGTTTCCAAACTTTTCTTCTAGGACATCATCTGAAGTTTTCAATGATTATTCTTCATATAAACACACCCACAGGTTGCTTTCACTTCAAAGAGGCTTAACTTCTTCCTGAAGTTAACAAGGAGAGGATAATGAAGGCTCTAGTCCAGAACAGGTGTCTCTTAGGTCTCCTTAACCTCTTTCTCTGGGCCTCTTTGGGTTTTCTCCTGTTAATATTTCTGCTATTCCATTCATTTCACAGAAGATATTTACATGTAATATCCTAAACAAAATCTATTTTCTCGGCTGTAGGAAACTGAATGGCTTAACACAATGATATTGAATGGCATTAAGATGTCATAGTGTAACAGTGTTAAAAATCTATAACTGACCTGTAATGGGTATATCAATAGCTCTTCACTTACAAAATGACCTTTTCTTTGGATGAGAAAGGTTATAACAAACAGGGATAGCAGAAGAACCAGCAAGCCTGCATCCATTCTGTTTTAAAACACAATTTGCAATGTAAAATGTTCCTTAAGATATTTATTGAAGATGTAACAAATGAAAATATGCAACGTTTTACTCTAATAGAGAAGCTCTTAGTCATTTGGTTTAATCTAGATAAAGCAGCAAAATGGACACACAGTTACAAAGGAACAAAAAAATCTTAGGATAAAGATACTACTGTTGCTATTGTTATTTGCCATGGAGTGGGACCAACTCATAGCGACCCCTCCTTGGGTTTTCGAGGCAGTATCACTACAGAGGTAGATTGCCCCATCTTCCTTCTGAGGAGTGGCCGGTGAGTTTGAACCGCCAGCCTTCTGGTTAGCAGTCAAGTGCCTCAGGCACCATGGGGTAATTTATTATTTATTATAATAATTTAAAGATAAAATTATTTTCAAAGAAAAGTAATCAACCAATTTAAAGATTTGAGTCAGATTGAGAGGAAATAAATATAACAGCAGTTATTTTTTAAAATATCTTTGATTTTGGGGGGGGGGGGCTGGCTTAGAAATATTTCTAGAAAACAAAAGAAACATAATCAGTATGTAAAATATGTATCTTGTGATTCGAAGTGCTTCTGCTTACAAAAAGGACCTATGTTTATAGCCTGCACTATTTTCAGCAGAACACATTTCCTTTCTATTACTGACCTTGTGCCCTGGTAAAAAGAAAGGAAGGACATAGTCAGTGCTCAACTGCCAGCATCTCCTCATAAGAGCATTTGTACAGTAATACAAATTACACAGTAACAGTCATATGCCTTCAAAACTATCAGGCATGGTATGGTTACTGAAGTCAAAATAACGCATTTCAAGGACCCAAACCAAAACCAAACCCACTGTCATGGAGTTGATTCTGACTCATAGCGATCCCCATTGGATTTCCAAGGCAGTAAATCTTTACAGAAACAGATTGCCTCATCTTCCTTCCACAGAGCAGCTGGTGGGTTTGAACCGCCAACCTATGGTTAGCAGTCAAATGCCTTAGGCACTGCACCCCCAGACCTCCTTTTCAAGGACACAATGTTCTGTTGTTTGAGCTCTATTTCTCACCACAATCTGAGTAAGACAACTCAAGTTACACTGAGGATGGAATCAGGAACCTAACAACACGAAAGAACCGAGAAGAGGGAAGTTGGTTATGTAGAAAAGAGAAATAAGAGAAAACAAAGGACAGAGCTGGGACACTCAGGGAGAAAGTGAACCTGGATCCCTTGAAAAAGCTCATTTCTATAGAGTCTTCAAATACTCTCTTTGACAGTCACAACCAAAAAAAGGAGTTACATATCTAAACTGCATAACCATAAAACTTACTAAAAAATAACTATGAATGAGCAAGGTTCTTTGCTTTGTTTAATATTTTTTTCTTTCTTTCTCTTTTTCCTTCCTTTCTTTCTTCTTTTGTAATAAGCTGATACTTTAACTCCTTGGACATCAGGGGTGTTATCAACTATATTATATGCAATTTTGCTTTTACTTTCATTTTTATCCTTAAAATTTCACACATCAGTGTTTGAAACTGTCTGAAGATAGGACAGGTTATGAGATATCAAAATGTAGGTAGGAAATGACTCCAGGAATCAAGACAGAAAAAAAATTTGTAAGTATATTTGCTAGAAACCCAATATAAGTGACTTAGGAATTTTCATTTAAATGTATACAAGAAAGCAACATTTGGCTCATGTCTGCACAATTTATTTTCCTTTTAAAAACTAAAAATGTTACTACCATGAAGTTGTTTAGACTCATAGCAACCCCTCCTTGGGTTTCTGAGGCAGTATCTCCATGGAAGTAGATGGCCCAATCTTCCTTCCAAGAAGTGTCTGGTTTGAACCGCCAGCCTTCTGGTTAATAGTCAAATGCCTTAGGCACTACGCTACCAGAGATAAATCCTGACCAATCCCTGGAGAAGGACATCACTCTTGGTAAAGTTACAGGGTCAATGAAAAAGAGGAAGACCTCCAACAAGAAAGATTGACGCAGTGGCTGCAACAATGGGCTCAAACACAGCAACCGTGAGGGTGGCTCAGGACCGGGCAGCGTCTCATTCTGCTGCACACAGGGTCAGAACGGACGACGTGGCGCCTAAGAACAAGGCCCGCTCAAGTGTGTCAGCATTGCTTTAGCAGGATGGATAGGCACAGAAAGTGACAAAAGAGAGGAGTCACATACAGAGAACAAAAAAAGAGCATTATTAAGATCTCACAGAGCAACCCAGGTGAAAAACAAATGGAAAAATTTGTATTTGCCTTATTCAAATACTATTCATAGCTTATAATAACTGCAAAATGTTTTGACTAAAGTACTATAATGAAAGTATGGCTTAGATAGTTGGTGTCATAAATAAAAAGAATTTTTTTCACTCCGCTAATAAACAGACTTCATAGAAATATTTTTGATCCATTCAATACTGATGTTACACAAAGTGTGATAAAATGTGCCAATCTCATGAAATCAACACAGATTTGTTAAAATTATTGTTTGGTTAGTATTTCTTCAACTAATCTCTCACTTATGAGAAATCAGGATGAAACGTTTAACAACTCATTGTTTCTATAAAGTTTGAAAGAAAAAATGTTAACATGATTAGAAGCAAGAGAAGAAACATCAAATGAGAATGATCATTCAGCTTGCAAAAAGGGAACCTGCAGAAGATGCAAATAAATTAAAGGTAAAATAATTCAAAGGCAATAATAATTCAAAGGTAAAATTAGTCACAAAGAAAGGTCATCAAATATTTTACAGATTTATTTGGGACTGTGGTGGTTAAGTCTGTGTATCAACTTGGCAGGGCCTGGTCAAGTGGCTGGGCAGCTGGTGGCAGTTATTCCCCATGACGAGACTGGCAATCAACTCCATGGTGAGATCTACCACAAGCAGCTGAGTAGCTGCTTTAGGGGTGTAGTCTGCTTCCCATATAGAAGAAACAGCTTTGGGAATGTTCTCTAGTTTATGGCGTGATTGAATCCTGCATGTAGCCAAGTCGTTGTTCAGCAGCCTGCCATGCTCTGCCGATCTTGGGACTTTTAATGGACTTGAATTAAGGCCTGCCATGTGGTTTGATAATATCACGACCGTGCCTTTTTACTTGTCACCTTTGGGCTCGTCAGCCTCAGCAGCCAGCAGCTGAGTGAAGAAAAGCCTCCAGCTTCAGTGGGCTGGGAGCAGGAGGCAGAGCTGAAGCCCAAGGTTGAGGGGCTTTTACCCAGTCCCTAGAACCTGGCACTTTGAATTGGACTTCTAGCCTCCCAAATTGAAAGAGAATAAACTCTTGTTTGTTAAAGACATCCTATTTATGGTATATTCTTGTCAGAGCGGCACTAGGTAACCAAAACAGGACAGAATGAAGGAAAATAAATATAACAGCAATAAGAGGAATTAAGTAAATTAGGAAGAATACTATTCTGAGTTTGAGTGATTAACTCATGGATAATTCTCAGAAAAATAGCATTTTCCTCCCATGGAGATTTTAACCTTCAGATGAAAGTAGGAAAAGTCATGTTAAGTATGGACATGTTCAGAGGCAGGTAAGGACTATATCAACGGCTTTTGGCCTTTTTAATTGCAATAGAACTTTTTTCACAAGAAACAAAGGTTTTTTGAGAGGGCATGTTAAGTAATCATTGCTTGGCACAATTTCCTTATTTATGCATGTCTGGAAGCATCTCTAGCGAGATTTAGTGCTGCTCAAGAACTAGTAGGGTAAATAATTATTACTGGTTTCCTATTAGTATTTTAATTTCCCATTGCTTCAAGGGATTTTAAATGTGTAAACAAAACTAGGTTCATGTTTCATAGAGTTAAGAAAAACAACTGCATTTAAAGGTCAAAAAAGTGAAAATACTGTTCATACACTAGGGCGATATCTGGCTTTCGTCCTACAACAGGCATCATTGGGAACACCGCCAGAAGCAAAGAGAAAAGAGTCCAACTCAGTGACATGACCTAAAATAAAGAGAAAAGTCAACTTTAGACACACATGGTACAGAAGACCTCAGTGTTGCACAGACTGCATGGCTGTGAAACTCAAAGGGAAATGCAAAACCTTCCAAGTGTTTACTTGAAAAGGGAATAGTTACTATTCATGGGCGACTGTCACATACTAGGGAAGGGACTGGATAGCCGAGAGCACTATCTCATTTAATTCTCACAACAACCTTAGGGGAGGTTTAATTATTCACAGCACTTCAGATGAGGAATCTGAGCTCACAGGAGTGAAGGTGTAAGTACCAGGCCTATGACTAGTGAAAGAAATGGCCACCATCTAACCCCCGGCCTCCTATTTCAATGCACGTGCTTCGTTCCATTTGTGTTACACTGCATACTGACTGCACCGCCAAGAAAGCTGACTTGCAATAGTGATCAAATACTCGAGCGCAGATGGGAACTAAGTAAAAATACTTTTGTAATTAGATTAAGACAAAAATGATCAATAATCCCATTACGCGGAGATCTTTTTAAATTCTCAAACATAGAAAGAAGGTAATTCTGTCTTCCCACTACCTCCATCAAAAGTGGAAACATGAGAATACTCTGTGGGTGCGCATTGGAATTCCCACTAGCTAGAGGAAGAAACTCAGGAGTAACTATTCTAAGTAGTCTGTCATGACTATCTACTTCTCGGGGGGAAACACTGATCTGTGAAAGAGCTGGGGAGGTGGCACAGGCCTAGCGGGAGGTGGTGCCTCTGCAGCCAGTCCCCAGCACACTCCGGCTACGTGACTGGGCTTCTTGGGGCTTCTCTGGGCAGTCCCTTGGCTGCTCCACCATCTAGAGATTTCAGGTTCCAGGAATTCAGGACGTGCTTCAGAGAAAGACAGACTAGCTCTGATGCTACAGTATTTCAATCATCACATCCCTAGCCCATGTTGATATGAAAGACTGTGAATCATTGAAACTTCAGAGACAGCCTCAATCCTGAAGTCAAAAGGACTAGGCACTTTACATAAGGATCTTTCTACCCTTTTGTTAAAGAAAGAAACATTTCTACAGTTAAACACAGACCCAAACAAAGTAGTTACTAGTCTGTCCTATGACAAAATTTGTATGCATACCTTCGCTCGAGTCCACAGCCGAGTGAAAAATGGCCAGCCCGCAAATGCAATGAGTCCAGCTGTAAGCATATAGCGGTAGAAAAAACTGAGAACCTAGTAACGCATTCCAAAGGAGAAATGAAAAACAGGGTCACTGAACACTAGTTACATAGATCTGAGAGCAATCTGAAAATGCTGTAATCTGGTAAATTACTCACCAATACTTCAATTCCCAAGGTAAAGACTAACAGCCAGCCAACAAAATGATGCAGAGGGAAGGTCAACAGTGAGGCGACAAGGTCCTGAATAACCTGAAATCTGTTGAAAAGATGACAGAAAGAGACTACTTATCCTCTACAACTCACAGCTACTGAGTTGATCTGACACATACCGACCCTACAGGCTTCCCAAGGCTGTCAGTCTTTAAGGAAGCAGATTGCCCATCTTCCTCCCATGCAGCAGCTGGAATATTCACACCGCCGACCTTCTGATTAGCGGCCAAGTGTTTTACAGGCTGTGCCACCAGGGCTGTGTACTTAGGCTCCACTCCAAAAACAAATTTAGGTTATGTATAGCGAAGATTAACACCTTTGAGCACAGTGAGAAACAGGTAATTTTCAATTTAAGGATTATTAAAAAATGTAGAATGTAGTTTATGAAGAAATTTTGTAGTGGAAGATTTGGTGTACATAAACTCCAATGACAAAGAATACTGTTTGGTTTTAATTTAGAAACAGTTACATGCAATTGGTATACTGATAATATTAGGACTAAAGTGTAACGAACAAAAATTTATTTGTGGGAAGTTTTAAAATAATTTAAAGTTATTAATTGATTCTGTTGATCGTCACAGGTATATTCAGATTCTCTATCTTGACTCAGTTTGGGCAGGTGGTGTCTTTTTAGGAAGCGTCCACTGCATCTAAGTGTTCTCATTTGTTGGCACACACTATTCCCTTGTGATCCGTTTTATGTCTGTAATTCTGAATGGTGGTCCCACTTTGATTCCTAATTGTAATTATATGACTCTCTTCTCTCCTTTTTGTCATTCTTGCTAAAGATTTGTCAATATTGTTCAACTTTTCAACCAACCATCTATTTGAGTTTTCTCTTTGTCTGTTTATTTCCACTTTAATTTTTAAATTAGCCTTCTTTCTGTTTCATCTTTTGAGGTTAGTTTGCTCCTTTTATTCTCGTTTTCTAAAATCATACATTAGGTTATTGATTTGAGATTTTTCCTCTTTTTCTAATTAAGGGACATATTATCGTTGCTGTTGTTAGATACCATCACGTCAGTTCTGGATCACAGCAACCCCACGTACAACAAAATGAAGCCCTGCTCAGTCCTGTGTCATCCTCACAATTGGTTGCTGTGCTTCAGCCCACTACTGCAGCCATTCTGTCAGTTCATCTCACTGAGGATCCTTCTCTTTGTTGTTGATCTTCTATTTTACGAAACATGATGTCCTTCTCCGGGGCCTGGTACATCCTGATAATGTGATCCAAATGTGAGAAATGAAATCTCACTGTCCTTGTATGTGCTGGAAATGACATGATAGAATTTTGCAAGACCAATGACTTATTCATTGTAAATACTTTTTTTCAACAATATAAATGATGACTATACACATGGATCTCACCAAACTGAATACACAAGAATCAAATTGACTACATCTGTGCAAAAAAATGATGGAGAAGCTCAATATTGTCAGTCAGAACAAGACCAGGAGCTGACTGTGGAACAGACCATCAATTACTCACGTGCAAGTTCAAACTGAAGCTGAAGAAAAGTACAAGAAACAAAATATGACCTTGAATATACCCTACCTGAATTCAGAAGCCATTCTCAAGAATAGATTTTACACATTAAACATTAATGACCAAAGACCAGACGAGTTGTGGGATGACATCAAGGACGTTATAAATGAAGAAAGCATAAAGTTATTAAAAAGACAGGAAGGAAAGAAAAGACCAAAGTGAATGTCAGAAGAGACTCTGAAACTTCCTTTTGAACAGAGTAGCTAAAGCGAATGGAAGAAATGATGAAGTAAAAGACCTGAACACAAGATTTCAAAGGGTAGCTCAAAAAAGACAAAGTAAGGTATTATAATGAAGTGCACAAAGAACTAAAGTTAGAAAACCAAAAAGGAAGAACATGCCTCAGCATTTCTCAAGCTGAAAGAACTGAAGAAAAAATTCAGGGCTCAAGTTGCAATACTGAAGGATTCTACGGGCAAAATATTGTAAGACACCAAACCTAAAACCAAACTCACTGCCATCAAATCGGATCTGACTCATAGTGACCCCTCCTTGGATTTCCAAGGCAGTATCACTACGGAAGTAGATTGCCCAGTCTTTCTTCTGAGGAGTAGCTGGTGGGTCTGAATCGCTAGCCTTCTGGTTAGCAGTCAAATGCCTTATGCACTACATCACCAGAGCTCCCATTGAATGACACGAGGTTGAAGGAATACAGTCACCATACCTAAAAGATTTGATCAATACTCAACATTTTTGTAAGTAGCATATGATCATGAACTGATGGTACTAATGGAAGAAGTCTAAGCTGTACTGAAGGAATTGGCAAAAAACAAGTCTGTAGGAATTGACAGAATACCAATTGAGATGTTTCAACAAACACACGCAACACTGGAGGTACTCAGTCATCTATGCCAAGAAGTCTGGAAGACAGCTACCTGACCAACAGACTGGAAGAGATATGTATTTGTATCCATTCCAAAGAATTCAACAGAATGATTCAACAGAATGTAGAATTTATCAAACAATATCACACACAAGTCAAAGTTTGCTGAAAAAGGGGACATGTAGCTATAAATTTCCCTTGAAGCACTACTTTAGCTACCTACCAAAAGTTTTGGTATGTTGTGTTTTCATTTCGATTCATCTTATTTTCTAGTTTTTCTTGTGATTTCTTCTTTGATCTGTTAGTTATACAGAATTTATTTTTTAATTCCAAAAAACCAAACTCACTGCCATTGAGTCGATTCCAACTTACAGTGACCCCATTGGGTTTCCAAGGCTGTAAATCTTTACAAAAGCACATTGACCCATCTTTCTTCAGCAGAGCAGCTGGTAGGTTGGAACTGCTGACCTTCTGGTTAGCAGGCAAATGCCTTATCCACTATGCCACCAGAGCTCCTTATTGTTTAATTAGGGAAGGGGAAATCTTAGTTATACCTCTTCCATTACCTTTCCCAAACCCAACAGAGGGTGATACCAATATATGAATTGCATTCAAAAGGGAAAAGATAAAACAAAAAGGATGCTTATGTATTGTATTTACATATGTACAAATAAATTAAGAGGACTTGATAATTAGAGAGTAGTATAAATACGTCTTTGATAACTATGCTACAGAAAATTATACTATTTCAAATACACATTTAATTGTAGATGAAAAGTAAATAAATAAACGAGGAAGTAAGATGTGGTCCTTACTCTCTTAGAACCGCATACCATATGGGCACTGGCAACAAACAATATATGTAGTAAGTCCAGGGACAGGCTTGAATCAGCAGGAAAAATGCTACTAAAAGGCCAATAGCTATAAAACTACATGGCAGGAACCGGCTTGGTTTCTGAAAATCAAACAAAACATTGAAATAGTTCCAAACTCATGCTAAATGACACATCTTTAAAAGAAGTTTTGTAAAGTAAGGAAAGTATATTACCTGCTTCCAATGCCGCTACAACCAGATGAGTAATCAAGAATTCTATTACTTTTCATAGTCACTGATTCTAGCAAGGCTCCACAACAGATACTAAAGCTACCAGGTGATAGGTTGTTACGGAAAAGAGTATTTTCATGCTCTGAAAGTATCATTAAAGGCTTACTTATTAATTACAAAGAGGAAAAAGAACATTACAAAGGAGAGTTCTGGCTTTTATTATCTATTGTGAGCAAAGTTAGTATCACTGGCAGTAGGGTGAACTGACATCTCTAATATAATGCAGTACAAAGCATTGCATTTTTATGCAAATAACATCACCTTCTATGTTTGTTTGCCAACTGCTCCCTTTCCCCAGCAGGTATTTTCATAAGCAGTGTAAAAAAATTAGCATAGTACATTTACAAAAATTCCTGCATGGGGAGAGGCTGAGAAAAGACTATAGAAGGTGAGTGTTATTTGGGTAAAAATACAGTCCCCATCAACACCAAGGAAGTTGTCTTGCAAGAAGTGTTTAACCTGAATCTGATAATCAGAAAATAATCACACAAATCCAGAATGAAGATAGTGATGAAGACCAAGGTAAACTGGCCTGGACGCTAATTTACCACCCGCGAGGTGGAAATGAGGAAGAGCGCTGGATAGCAATCTGCAGGGGTGATAAAGTGAAAGATGGATGTTTCCTGTGACTCAGCTATACCTACACCAACTTAAGTTTGGTTCTGTTCTCCTCCTCTCTCATCTGCAACGTAGTAAGAATAATAATGAAGTTAAAAAGAAGAAAAAAAGCCTAGCACAGCAGGAACAACAGGAAAAGAAGCAAGTTTTTCCCCTTTTAGCTGCTACATTTTAATCAGTTAAAGTTAAATGTACTCTAATTTTTAAAATTAGTTGTCCAAAAGAACATAGAAGGCTTATAGCCTGTTAAATAGTTGTAAGATAAAACAAAAGTCAACAGAGGTGATACCAGAGAAAAATTAAATTATAAAGAATCTTCATAGCCCAGTGAAGTTACAGGGCCAGTATTAATATATCCTTCTTTTTTCTAGATGAAGAAATAAAGGTAATTGAGAAAATAAATGACCTTATACAATAAAATCAAATGAGACATTAATAAGGGTTAGCTTAATACAATGCCTGACACATTGCATGAATTATAACAGTTGATTTGATTAAATCCCTTTCCATAGCCGCAGTATTTCACACTAGTACTTGAATGTTCATTATATTCTCTGGACCTACCTTAACTTTTTTACTAACACCTCTTGTAAGGTTGGAATGAGTCTTGATGATCAGTAAAGAGGCATAAGATGTCCATCCCACAAAACCAGTAACAACAGTGACTCTCAAGAAGAATCGGTCGTAAGTGTGATAATAAGTCAATCCTTTCAATGCAAGATGCATCAGCTCCTTGCACAGAGAGATCTATGGAGAAAGAAAAATATAACTTGCCACATAGAAAGAAAAGGAAAACTGTAAAGTTCCTAATAGCCGAATCATTTATTCAAATTGTCGTTAGTAACTACAGGTGAGGGACCTAGACACACTGTGGCCTTCTTGCACAGTACAATTAAAAAGTCATGAATAAAGTGCACTGATTTTTTAATCATGACAGGAAAGGGCATTTTAAATGTAAACTCTCCATGATAGTTTAAAAAAAATATGTAGTGTTTTAGAATATTCACTAACCCTCAAATGACTGAGGCCAACATTAATATCATTCTTGATGTTCTCCTATCACATTATCCAAATCAATGATAAAATAGCAGTAAATATCTACATTTAGTGATATATAAACTCAAACTCACTGCAATCGAGCTGGATCCTACTCATAGCAACCCCTTCTTGGGTTTCTGAGGCAGTATCACTACAGAAGTAGATCACCCAATCTTCCTTCCGAGGAATGTCTTGGGATTTGAACCACCAGCCTTCTGGTTAGCAGTCAAGTAAGTGCCTGAGGCACTATGCCAGCAGAGCACCCAGTGATATATATACATACAGATACATGTACATATCTCTTAACGATTTAGAAAAGAAAGTGGATTATTATTTTATAAACAATAAAAATTAGCATTAAAATGCCTGGTATTACTTAGGCAATTTGGGAAATATAATTCTTTCCTACTTTAAATTTATAATGTGAGCTCTGGTGGCATAGTGCTAAGGCATTTGACTGCTAACCAGAAGGCTGAAGGTTCAAACCCACCAGCCACTCCCAGGAAGGAAGGTTGGGCAATCTTCTTCTGTATACTGCCTCAGAAACCCAATGAGAGGTTGCTATGAGTCGGATTTGACTCAACGGCAGTGAGGTTTTTTTTTTTTTAAGTAAAATTTATAAGACAATTTAACAAAGAGAAAATAATTAATACTAATAAAAAGGAAAACATACTGGGTTTGGGAATGGGAAGATGCAAATCTCCAATATGAATTGTTAAACTTCTGATAGTAATTCCAAAAGTACAAATATATCTTATTCTAAATTAATATATGTAAGTATGGTGACTTTAATACGCAATATATCTTGTCATCACAGAAAAATAGCATAATGGAACTTAAATTCCAATGTTAACCTACAAAAATGTACATATATTATGAAGAGGCCCCAGTGGCACAGTGGTTAAAGCATTCAGCCGCTAACCAACAGGCTATTGGTTCTAACCACCAGCCAAGAGAAAGATGAGGCAATCTGCTTCCATGAAGATTTACAGCCTTGGAAACCCTATGGGGCAGCTCTACTCTGTCCTACAGAGTTACTATGAGTCTGTCCCACTTGATAGCAGTGTTGTTTTTTTTTTTTCATTCTGGTATATGTTAATAGCTACTTACAGTCAAGATATTCAACCCTTTGTTGAGGGCTCAGGAAAGCTCCCTGGCTGCTCCCTTTGCATTTCATCTACATACCTCACCTCTCTCCACCATGGAAATGAAGATCAGCAATTTATACACACAGACTTCATACTCACTACGTCATCATGCTTTCCTTGCTTTATATAAGATCTTGCTTTCCTTAAACTGTTGAGCTGTCTAGAATTAGAAAGTAACCTATAAAAACAAAATTACATGTGCTTAAAATATCTCTTTATTCCAATTATATATAGTGCCTAAGGCACTTGACTGCTCATCAGAAGGCTGGCGGTTCAAACCCACCAGCCACTCCTCGGAAGGAAGGTTGGGCAATCCTACTTCCATAGTGATACTGCCTCGGAAACCCAAGGAGGGGTCGCTATGAGTTGAGGCCGACTCGAGGGCAAACAACAACAACAACAAAAATATATATATATATATATATATATATATATATATGTTTTTAACTGAAAAGCAAGGATAATTAAAATAAACAAGCGAATCTTGAGCTCAGTTTCACTGCTACTGATTATCTGAACACTTCCAAGGAGTAACTTATGGTTTCACAGGTTTTAAGGTCCCAAAGTTAGAAGAGATGTTTTTGCTACTAGTGGCAATGTCTCCTTCTCACCTCCATGTTTTATTTCCTGAAACATGTATTCTCCTAAGAACTCTATCTAATTTCTCCCATTACATGGAGTTTTTTTCCTTAAAAATGTTCTATTGCCCCACTTTGGCCCCTATAGTACACATTTTCCCAATATAAAGTGGTTTTCCTCCTTTTAAATGTCATTCATACGTAGGCAAATAGTGCCTAAGGCCCTTAACTGCTAGTCAGAAGGCTGGCAGTTCAAACCCACAAGCCACTCCTGGGAAGGAAGGTTGGACAATATACTTCCGTAGTGATAACTGCCTTGGAAACCCAAGGAGGGGTCGCTATGAGTCAAGTGTGACTCAACGGCACATAACAACAACAATGTCATGTGACACCTGCTGGTCATTTCATGGAATACCATTAGTATACATTGGACCCAATTTTAGTTTCGAGTTTCTTTTTTTAAGGAGCTCTGGTAGCATAGGGCCTAAGGCACTTGACTGCTAACCAGAAGACTGGTGGTTCAAATCCATCAGCCACTCCTCAGAAGGAAGGTTGGGCAATCTACATCTGTAGTGATATTGCCTCGGAAACCCAAGGAGGGATTGCTATGAGTCCAGTCCAACTTGATAGCACATAACAACAACAACAACAAGTATTTGTCACAGGAGGAAAATGGAAACCCTATGGGGTTAGTTCTACTCTTTCCTATAGGGTTCCTATGCATTGGGATCACCTGGACATCAGTTGATTGTATAGAATCCCAGGTGATTCTTATAAATCACAGGTGGTTCTTACGTATACACAAAAATCATTTGGAGAATGTGTTAAGATGTAGATTCTGATTCAGTATATCTGGAGTTGAAATGCAAATTCTCAGCAGGAGGTCAAACCAGAATGAATTGGTTGGAAGCCATGATCAACAACAAAGGATTTTAAGTATATGTCAGACTGGATATATCCTTATTTTTAATTCTTTTTAGTAGTCTTCAATGTATCAAAGAAGAAACTTACTTATTTTTTAACTAGGATAAAATAGTGTATGCAATTACCATATGAATCCCATTGGACCCTTTTACAAATCTGAGATACATTATAGGATCTTGGTGATCATATTTTTCGCATAGGTTGAAATAATTTGCCCTTTCGTCATCTTTAAAACTACATCATCATTCACCAATATTTCCAAACTTTTTAGAAAAGACTAACAAGCATCACTATTGTCACATGACCCTTAAGTCCTTTTATTGCATTTCCCAGAGTCTGACATTGTCATTCAAGAAAATATAAAAGAAGAGTAGAGACACCATGGGAGCTCTGGTGGCATGGTGCCTAAGGCATCTGACTCCTAACCAGAAGGCTGACAATCTACAGAAGGTTGGGCAATCTACTTCAGTAGTGATCCTGCTTCAGAAACCCAAGGAGGGGTAGCTATGAGTTGAAATCGACTTGATGGCAGTGAGTTCGATTTGCCTAGAGGCAGCGTATGTAGTTTGCTTTCAGCTTTCATTGAACACATTTAACTTTCACTGAATTCAGAATGTTCATTTCCTGCTCATGATAGGACTCAAATGGTAAGAGCCCAGAATTTGACTCCTAAGAATCAAGAAACAGAAATTGAAATAGGTGTAATACTGCCCCACAGCAGTATCAGTATAGAACTCAGTGAGAAATTCTTTCTATAAGCTAAATTTTAAAAAAATGTAATATACTTACTTAAATGGTATAAATAAAAATGGCAAAGTAACTTCTTTTTTCTGAGTCATTTTCACCTGGGAACCAAGTATGAAAATATTTTTTATATTATAAATGAGAAAAAAAAATTCCTTTTAAAATATATAAACATCCATTAAAATGGTTCTTCAGGGATGGTTAAATAGTTGAATTTTCTGTTACTAGGAGCTCTGGTAGCCTAGTGCCCAAGGGATACAGGTAAGGAGAGACAACTCAGGGACACCCAAAGAAGCAGGCCAGAAGAGCAGGAGAAAGGGGATTAAAAGACAGGAAGCCAGACAGAGGAACAGTCAGCCACAGGGACCCAGGTGG